GGTATCTTTCACTTCAGGTCTCTTAGGAAGTCTCTGGATGGTGTTGCTCTGCTTACCTTCAGTAAGTAGAAGTGTGCACCTGGAAGTGAAGCTTGGAACGGCAGTGCCGCACCGTACAAGGTGAGCTAGGGAGGAGCAGCTTTCTGGAATGTTGGAGTGAATAAAAACTGGTTTTGGTGTTGTCAGTGTCCATCAAAAGCCACTGTTTTAAAGGCTTAATTTAAAATACAGTTGCTGATTCCTGGCTCTAATTTGTTTTCTGAAACACCTCTGACTTAGAAAATCCCAAGTTTAGAAAGCAGCGATTGGTTTGACATGTGACTGTGCCTGCCAGTTAAGCCATTAACTGGAGGTATGCTCTGTGGGTCTTACTGGGGGTAGCAGAATCCTTCAAGAGGTGTTTTTCCTCCTCAGGGCTGTTAATGCTGAAACTGGTTACAACAAAGTATCCTTGGTGTATGATCCAGTTGGTTTTCTGAAGTATTTGTGTGTATATGCATGAGTGAGGCAACTAATGACACTGATAGCTATCCTGTAGGGGCCAGAACCCTTCCAAACTCTGAACAAGCCTGCCTAAATACGTGGTTCTTGCCCTTCTTTAGGAGAGTTGGGTTTCAGAAGACTTGAAGCTGGGTAGCTCTTGTTAGGTGATGTTGCAACTAAACTCATCTGTCTGAAAAAGTTAATACTTTGAAAAAGATTCTAGTAGAACTTAACTTTTTTTTCAAAAAGTTACTGTTATTTTTCCTTCTGACTAGGAATGAAGTGAAAAGCTATAAAGCAGCTTTGACAGGATGGCTTGGGGACAGGCTATTGTGCAAGCTACCAGCCATGCCAGTGATGGAATGTGTCCTCGGTAACACATGCTGATAGATCTTGAGTAGGACGGAGCCTCTCTTTTTAGATAAATCGAACAAAAAAAATATATAATTGCAAATACAAAAAGAAGGTAACTTTGCAGTTCAGTGTTATTGAAAGGACAGAACATTAAAGAAATCAAGCTTTAGAGAAGCAAAGCGAGTTGTCTTTGGCCACTCTCAGCACACCTCGCTGTTGTTTTCCATGTTTATTGTGATGGACTGACTAGCGGTGATGAAAATGAAGCTGGATATGCTATTGACGGCTCTCGTCTCAGATGCTAATCTAGCTAATCCTTTTACTGACTTTTGCAACATGGGTTCTTCATCGAGTTGCTCTCCAGTGTATGAACAGTGTAGTAGTGGTGAGCTTTGGATTTTTTAGCTTTTATGTGTCTTGGGAAGCGTTAGAACTAGTGCTAACTGTGAAGCCTGAGCTTAGCTTCAAAAATTATCCTGTTACCTATGGAATTAGCTTGAAGCTAGAACGAAACCAGAAACTTGGTGTTAGTCCTTGGCTGCTTGGGAAGAGCTGGGCCTTCGGCAGGGCAGGTGGAACAGCCCGTCACCCTGCCTGGGGCTGTTCTTTATTAGTGAGAGCTGTAACAGGGAATGTTCAAATGTTTGAACTTCACAGTCTGGGCAGCAAGGCAGGCTGCCGTGGGCCTCTCAGCTTCCAGAGTGTGGACTAGAACATGGTGAATATCCACATAGGAAAGACTTGTGTTCTGAAATAGGAACTTGGATATTTAAGTGCATTCTTTTCTCCTATTGTGCATATTTCTCTCAAGCTGTATATTCTGTACTCCCCTCCATTTGATTTTAGTCCAGTCACTGCTGCATTTTCTGCAGAGTGGCAGTTTCCCCAGGGTTGGACGAGGCTTTTCCACAGGATCTTCTCTAGTATGGTGGCTGGTGTGAGCTTCTGGGGAGAAAAAGTGGAAGCCCCCAGTGTGAGGAGAGCTGGAAAGCTCTTCTGCTTCACAGACAGGCACACAAATGTCAAAGCTCTTGTAGTACTGTCTTTTTTTATCTTCTGGCAGAGCTTTAAAGTAAGAAGCTGTGATTGCATTTTAACTTGGTTACAAGAAGAATCAATTTGAATGTGCTTTTCTGCCTGCTGGATTAAGTCCCTGAGAAGGCTTGGGCTGCTCACCATACCTGTTAGATACAGTGAGGTAGAAGCAGGGTCTAGGTACTTGGTTTTCTGCGCTGGGGCAGTTCTGCAGGTGCATGGATCTACAGCTGCAGGCACCTGGTAAACTCAAGGATGAACGTATTTGGGGACTGTTGGATGTATTGAGCTTATTTGTCTTGGTTTAACTTCCAAACTCAAGTTATTCTTAACTGAAGCTATTTCTAGCAGATGTGCAGGACTTGACCTCTCAGATCCTACTTTGTTTATCCCTTACTGGGAAAAATAATTGGAAAAAGACATTTTTTTTCTGTAATCACAGCTTCCTACTTTACAAGGAGACAGCATTGTCAAAATAACTTACCTGTACGTGCCCCTCCTGTGCTGCGAGTACACTATTCCTGTGGATAAGACTTCTACCAAAGGCTTTCTTGTTTGTGCTCTTTCTTACCCTATTTTAAGAGTATGGAAAGATTTTCATTAGGAGAACCCAGTGAAAAGCTATACATTGTGCTTTAACTGAGACTCCTGAAAACAAAATATCTCGATCTCTAGGGTGCCTGTCTGAATGGTGAGGTCTCTTGTGTATAGAGGTCTAATAGTCTCTTTAAGTATTTTTGATTGTTCCGGTACCTGACAAGGTTTAGCGCCTAGAATAGTCAGTACGGGGGGAAGTAATGCTCTTCAAGTTGAATTTGTGGAGGCAGGCTGCTGCATTGCCATAATTAAGTCTTTGTAGTTTTTCTTTCTAATACCAGAGATTTATGCACTGGTATAGACATTATTTATAGAAACACTGTTAGAACAGTTTTCTGTTGCCCTTTTGTGGGCCTCATTTGCTTCTCCAACTTTGGGACTGGAAACCAGGGCTATAATCAAAGCATTAATTTTGTAGTGTTACCTGAAAGAATAGAGCTTCAGGAAGAAATAAAAATAGCTTCTTTTCCCCTATGCCTTTAAAAGCAAGCTCTGACTCCTATGTCAGCTGTGAAAGGGCAGGCTTTTGACAGAATTGAGACTTGTTTTCTCTAGTGCTGCTTTCTCCGCTTGTGGCAGTACCTGGGGGAAGCTGCTCCCAGCTGCCTGTGCGGGGAGAGGCCAGAAACGCTGAGGGGTCTAGGTTGCAAGCGAGTCTGAAGACAGGATGCACTTGGGTGGTTTTCTGCCTGCCCTTGGAGAGCGAGGCAAAGGCAGGACTTGCCTGCGGGGCATGTCATGCTGGCCATCTCCCCAGCTCACCCCGGTGAGCAGCCTTTTATGTAGGGATGATGTGGATCACAAGCCTCCCAAGTCCTGTGAGTATGACTCCTCGGGTTGTCCGTGGTTTGACTGTTCTGTGCAAACAGGAATTTTACTTTTGAGGGGATTTCTGTACAGCTGGATTTTAGAAAGTAGATGGAAGAGCAGATCTTTCCTCAAGTCTTTGTCATGCGGAGTTTAGCACCTCATAGGTCAAGGGTAGGCTGCTGGAATTTTGATTTATTTATTTGCTAGAAATTATAGTTGAAAGTATCGAAGGCTGAATTTCTCAGTTGAAAAGCTGAAGGCTGAATTACAGAAGTGGTAACAAAAAGACTGAGCACCCAGGGAGAATTGAAACAGTTTATTTGCCCCTACTGTAACAGTGGAACTGCTTATGGCTGTGAAGTCTCAATACCTTTAACATCTTAGCGTAGATGTGATATGGGCAGGATAATTTGTGGTGCTTTTGAAGTGAAGCATCAGTTTTGTTGCCCAGAAGATGTTACAATGATCCAGTCTACTAGTTGATCTGGTATTAATTATGCTACCACTCTGTGCTTTCAAAATGAGTTTGTCCTAAGCTGCTCATGGAAGTGGTTGCAGGTGGGTTTGAAATTGGGCTAAAGGGTTACCCTGGAATTTCCTATCTGTAGTTAGAAGGGGAGGAGCAACCTCACTCTCCTTGTTTTCTCTGCGAGTAGATCAGGAAAGGGAGTAAGCTAGTTGCTGTGGCTGGCTGATTTCATCTCTTGTAGCCGTAATTGACCTAAATGTGTACCTGTGAAAGCTTTACTTACTGCTTTGCTATCTGTAAGCTTGTAATTGCTATCATTGAAACTTAAACCTGAGATGAAATGAGATGCTGTTTGTAATTATACTGTTTGTTTCATCCTTGATAGGGTGTTTGCTCTGAGACCTTTTCAGGCTTGGTTCCTGATTTGTTACAACTGAAAACTATCTTCTCTTCTACCTGCCTTCAGTGTCTTTTTACCTTCAAAATGACTGGTATCGAAGCTGACTTTTACTGTTCTGTGGATTTTCTGTAAGCTCAGGCTTTAAAATACTTGTCTGTCTCCTCAGGGAGAACAGCTGAGCCAAACTGAGAAGCTGTGAGAAGGAGACTTACCTGCTATATTGCAGAGCAGCTTTACTTGAAAATTAATGTGAGGCTATTGCTGTGTATCCATTCTGCTGTCAAATTTTGCTAGGGTTTGACTAGAGTAGAAACACCTCTTAAGTGTTGTGAGCTGATAGCTTTGATTTTATTGCTCTCTTTGAGTTTTCTTTATTTCCTACTTTCACTTTTGAGAACAAATACGTTAGTGTAATGTAGACATTGAACTTCTGATCTGAGAAACCTGACTAAAATATCTAAGCAGATGGCATTTCTAGGTTATCTTGATTATTTTCTATTATTAAATAGAAGCTGAAAGCAAGTGAAGTGCACTTAATGGAAACTTGCAAGTTTATTGCCTCAGCCTGCAGACCTTTTACTTTTCGTCTAAGCACTATGTGTGTTTGTTTTGTTTTTTGGGTGGATAAACTTTTTGTCAAATTAATGACTAATCCTTATCATACTCGTGTTCGTCTTTACAATTAAGTGTCTTTTAATTGTATGGTGACTGGTGGGCGTACCAGTCATGAGTACATTTCGGAATTCAGATTCTTAATTTTCTCTCACTGCTGGTAGCAGGAATTTGCTGTGAACAGGGCATTATATTCTGGTTGGATACCCATTGTAATTAAATTATCATCTTTGTCTATGTTCAGTGAACCTTTCTTTGAGTAACTTCTGAAAGAATGCGCCTTTTTGCACTTTGGGGAAAATCTGAACTCTGAGGAAAAGGGAGGAAGATGGAGCAAAGTAAACATTTTGAGGCCTGCTAGGCTTTCCTTGTAGGTTTGGCTAATGGATTATGGTCAAGGCATAGTTGTGTTCTACTGCAGAATACAATAGCTTGCTTGTTTTCTTTTACTCTGGACTGGAATCTCTTAATCCCCTCCGACTCAAGCATGAGTATCACATGATTTGGAGGTGTTTGGTTAACGTGCTTCGCTGCTGCAGAGCATCCCTGTGCATAACAGAGGAATAAATTGGGCCTGCAGAGAGAAGCCACATGGAAATTTTCAGGTTTTGGAGATCGATGTCAAAGTGTTTAGTGTTTTGTTACCGGGTCGTGCTCTGGCAAAACCAAGGGGAAGCATTTGGTTGGTTAGACCTCTGAGTAAAGAGTTGAGATTTTGGCTCTAAACCTCCTAATTTGTGATAAAAAGGACTATAACTTCAATCTGCTGATAGTATACCTACATGTTCAGTATACTTACAAATGCTCAGACCAGGTATTGGGGTATTTGCACGGAAAACTCCTTGCAGGAAAACTGGTGGAAAATCTTATTGCGGTTCCTCCTTTTAGAATCTGTGGCCATATGGGACATCAGTGGATGTATAGCTGTCTAAGTAATACTCATAAACCCTTGTTAAAGAATAATAAATATTCATTAACAGATAATTTAAGAAAATAGCTTCTAGTATAGCTGTATAATGGTACCAGCATGCCTGTCATGTTGCTTTTCCGCCACCCCCCCTTCAGTTTTGCAGGCTTTAGTAGTTGCAGTCAATGTCCTCTGCATGTCAAACTGGAATTTTAGCTTTGAAATGACAGGGTGAATGCTGATACTTGATGAGGGTAACTGCGGAACACTGATCTAGTGAGAGGGCTGGACCAAATGAGTGTGTTGTTGGGGTTTTCTAAAATAGAATTCCCTGAAATGCTGAAATACGGTAATGAACTGAGGATGGTAGAGAAACCTCCAGTGATTTAGGAGATGCTGATCTTGCCTCTTGGTGCTGCTTTTGCAGAATTTGGCACGTTAAGTGCGGGATTGCTGGTGCTTTGCTTGGAGTGGCTTCACTAACTGATTCTCCCAGCAGCTGAATCCTGCTTCTTCCCAAGCTGTTTCCCTCGCATCAAAAGAAATGCAAAACCAATTGGGGGGCTCTAGTCATGGAGGCTTTGTGCTTAGCTCATTACTCCAGGCAAATTATCTTTTGCTTCTCAAGTGTTGACTGGTAGCCTGGTTTAAGAGCTGTCGAGCTTTCAACTGCTGGGTCATTCTGACTCCTCTGCAATACTTGCATTTCTTAAGTATTTCTTCCTCTGAACTCTTGACAGGCTGGCGATAACCTGACAGTGAAAGGGTTGAAGGATGGGAAATCTATAGTAATTCCCTGAGTAAAAAAAAAAAGCAGTGCCCAGCCTGCTGGTGTAATTAGCTTGGAGCAGGAAGCAGTTTCAAAACCTGCTTGATGCGATGCTCACCCACAGAGGGTGGTTCGGGCATCGCTGTCACTGCGCTGGCCGATGCTGGAACCTGAAGGGGCAGGGTGTGGTGCTCCTGTGGAGGACTCAGCCTGGGGGTTGTGGACAGAGGATGGAAGAATTGAGCTTCATTTGACAAGGGTAAGATTGGTAAAACAAGGACAATAAGAGCTATTGCTTGCTTTCATTATTTTTTGAAGACTAGTTTTCTAACGAGCTGTTTGTCTAAGGTACGGGTTCAGGTGCTCCTGTCCTTTGTGAGGGTCACACCCAGGAGGAGAATAGGAGCAGTCCTATTAAAATTAATAGTGCTGTTGCATCATTCTCTAGACTGCCGTGCTCTCATTCAGCACTAAGGTATGAAGACTTTTCCTCTTGCATAAGACAACTTGATTTGTTCTGGTGGGGAAGGAAACAATTTGGCAGCTCCCTCAAGAGTAAGCTGCGTGCTGCTGTGCCCTGTAGCTTCTTTTCCTAAATGTTTACTATGTATGTACACCTGCTTGAAACTGGACCACTGCTCCCGCATGGACAGCGATTTTTCTGCCAGCCCTTGCTGAATGCAGTTTCTGCACTTGCTTATAGACCTAGATGGTTTGATATTTAAATTAGAGACCTAATAGGGCTAAGCCTCACGTACTTGAATGTACTTCAAGAACCCCAAAATTGTGATACGGCTTCATCTACCTCGTCTTCTTTCAATTTGTAAGTATTTATAACAACTGCTACTGGTTTTTCTAGTTCTTCGAACAAAATTCGGGTTTTAGTCTCATTGTAAATACTACCATATATCAACCCCAGCAAACGAGGTCATGTACTGGTTAAGAAATAAAATATGCTGCAGAACCAGTAACATTTGTTATTGAGATAAATTGACTTTATCATTCGTTGTCTTTGGTAGATGAAGTACAACATGCCATGTTGAAAGTAGTGGGTCTTAAGTGACTTGAAAAGGGCAAAGAGGCACTTAAAGTTTTTGGATTTTGTTTGTTTGTTTTTGTTTGGTTTTTTGTTTGTTTGGGGGTTTTTTTGTGCAAGAATTACTTTATTAGAAGCAAGCTGGTGAGTTGGGGAGAATCTAGTTAAACTTGCAGTTTAAAGAAAGGCCTAATGTGAAAAAAACCTCCAAAAACTAATTTATGTGCATAAACTTTACAGTTTTTGTACTGACTCTTGCCAATGAAAGCATTCCTAGAGCTGGTTTGAATTTCCAGGTGCTGGGTTTGGAGCATGATAGATGCTTCTGCAGGTGCAGAGAACACTCAAGTCTGTTTGGGTAGGTTGGTGAGTCTTGGTACTTTTATTGTTGGAAGGACTTTTAGGAGTCTGAAGACGTTGCTGTGAAGCACGCTTGTGGTGCCGTTACGGCTGTAGCCAGCTGGGGTTTTTTATTGCTTGTAAAAGGTCAGCTTAGGAAATTTGTTGAATCAATGAACAGTAAACTTTAAACAGGTGTTGTAGCACTTGCTTTCTAGAATTGTAAACCTCCTTGTTTGGTGGTGGAAAACTTAGGAGGAAGAGTAGGGCCCCTGTGTGGGGTTAATGTTCTTAAGAGCTGTTTAACTATTTGTGGCTAGCAAAGATGCAAAAGGTGAGGGAATACCGAGGGCCAGTTCAGAGCAGGCTTGTTCAGCTGAGCAAAGATCAGTTGTGGTAAAACAGCTCAGTGCATCCAACATGTTTGTAAAGGAAACATTGTCAGCACCCAATTAGTCAGGCTTTGCCGTTGTCTTCTCTCCTAGGTGACTTTATGCTAAGTCTCGTTGAAAGACTTGACTTAGCAGAGCTTGTGCGTGTTGGAACAAATAGGATGGCTTGTAACTTGTCTGAAGAATCTGCTGATTGTTAGCTGACTTCTGAAGAGCCACTTCACCGGTCACCCCTCCAGAAATCATGCTGATGACTAGATTGCTTTGGTTTGGGGTTGTTTATTTAGTTGGTTTTTTTTTTTAATAACACTTTAACTCGAGCTCAGAAGAGTTTAAACAACATACTGATAGCTTCTTGCATACAAGGATGTGGAAGAGAAAGTTGTGAATCTTTATGTGAAGCTGGGAATCCATAGATCGTGCTGTGTGAGTGACAACTCGGCCTCTACGTGGAACTCAAAGCATCTTTGCCATGTTATAAAAAGCTTGTTGCCTGGTGCTGATCTGTTCGGTTGACACAGAGCTTTTTGTAACCTTTAAACTCTGCAAGTATAGAATAGGAATTTATCCTGTTAAAACCTGCATTTGTTTAAAGAGTTAGCTCTCACTTACCTGTGTCCTACATCTCTAGATCTATTATTTAAATTCCAAGGTGTGTGTCACGGTAAACTTACTGGGTAGGTAAGCTTTTCCTTTTACAGAAAGAAGTAAATGTGACCTGTAGCAAAAGACTGTGCCTGTCTTGTTACGCCTTTGTCATTCTTCAGTTTTATGTCCAGCACTGAACTTCTAAATTAAGGTTTAGGAGTTGGTCTGTGAGTGGATTTTTGCCTGTGAAATCCTGGAGATTTGTCCAAATACTGAGATGAAGAGTGTCTAACTTCAACCCTGCTGTGGCGGTGATGTCATTTATGTTAGGTATGTCAATTTTACAGGCTTTCTTTTTTGGGGGAGGAATGGGGAAAAGCCCTTACTGATGTCTCATCGAAACAAAACAGGCTGGGTGAATACTATAACATATACTGGTTATGTGGAATATCTTAAAAATGAATTGCTTAATGATGAAGTTGGTGGAGTGGAAGGGTCTGTAGGCTTCAATTCTGAAGTAAGAAATAACCCTTCTCCTTTGTGTTGTTAGGTTTGCCCTCCATTTACGTCTCATGGAATTTTTGAGGGGAGAAGCAGCAGATTTTTTGTGTAAACAGTAGACTTGGATTGTGTCCTTTCTTAGTGTTTTGAGGTAGCTTGGTGTAAAGTTTTCACAGAAATATTGCTTGTACTCAGCTGGTGGAATGGGAGTTGAGGTGAGTTAAATTCACAACTCAAATGTGGCTCTTTCTCTTCCTTCCAGCATTTTAATTCCTTGTCTTAAATGACTCAGTGTTCCTTGCAGACACATTTGAGGTAGAAGTCTGCAAGTTAACTTTTCTTTCAGTGTTGTGTCAGCCCGTTGCCGCTTTGGAGTTTTAACTTGCAGTCTTAGCGCTGCGTTCAGCATGACTAGACTGATGTACTCTGAAGGAGAATTTCTGGTACGGTGCTTCTAGTAGACCAGGGTTGTTGCAAGGAAAGTATTTAAGTGCTTCTGCAGTTTTGCTTCTGTAGGTAAAATGGTCTGTATCCTAAATTTGCTGGCTTAACCAGCCTTCCGTACGTAGCGTGCTGTCATCTAGGGTGGGTGCTGCATGATAGGGCTGCTTTGTGGATCATGGAGCTCTGGAGCTCTGCAGCACTGGGCTGTGGGGCTGAGTTTCTGGTACAGGAAAGCCTAAATGCTGAAAGGGTAGTCCCTCAATAATGCGACTCCTGAAACTGCTCTGTGTCTCTGTTAGACTGAGCTTGAAAGCACTGCCAGAACACAAAGCAATCCTAAGGTTTGCTCTGCTGCTGGCTGG